ACAGTGGAAGCAGAGAGCAGAGAGAGAGAGAGAGAGAGAGAGAGAGAGAGAGAGACTCTCCTTTTAAGCCCTCAGAACCATGCCCGTGACTGCCATTTTCAGTCCATTGACTACTGCACAGTCCTACAATCCAATTGCCTCTTCTAGGCTCCACCTTTCAATTACCGTAATAGGATTTCCCACCCTCTTAACAGTCACAGTGGGGGCTAAGTTTCTAATACATAAAACATGAGGGACACAATTCAAGTTTCAGGGAACTTTGGGGGGACATAATTCAACCTACTACACAGGCAATATTGGTCCAGACAGTACACAATACCAACAGTACGAGTTTAATCTTTCAAAATCATCATTTAAATAGCAAAAGACCAAGAAATAAAACTTGAGTCAATTGATATTTTTCAAAATATTCTCAATGCACGTTTTCCTCAGTTCCCTTATTATAGTGAAACATACAAATACAGAAAAATACCCCATTTAACATATACTAGTGTTAAATGGTTATTTGGCATATAATCTGAGTTATAAGAAAATCCTTTTTAGCAACCTACATACAGATAAGTAGCAAATTTTATTATATTAAACAAATTTGTTCCACTAAAACATGTAAAGAATTTCATCCATCATGTATTCTGATCCCAGTACCAGTGTTTATTCTCTTACCATCATGGTTCTTATCTGAAGGAACCAACTCAATGAGTCATCCTAGACATAACCTTATCCTCTTTTCCAACACACTTCATCCATCCAAAAGTCTGTTCAACAGATGGCAACCGGGTAGCAGTCACTTCACCATTGGAGCCAATGGTTCTGTGAGAGCGTGGCCAGAACTGTGAAACAGCCCATTTTCCTACCTACTGTGGGTTGCTGCTCAGGAGGAACGATAGACGCCAATACAAGCAGAAAATCTGCAGCTCCTCTGCTACGTGCCTTAGAACACCTTCAATTTTTCTGGTCAGTGCTCTGATTAGGTAACGTACATAAAAGCCAACATATTAGTTTAAATCTTTAAACAAAAAACTATATTTTCCAAAGTCATTATCATTTGGGGCAATTAAGTGATCTTTTCGTGCTTTGTTGAGCTTCATCTTTAGAACATCTCTTCTTTCTTCCCATTCATGAAGTTCAGCATTTCCATGGGCAAATTTACAGCTGCTTCCTTCTGTGCAGGTACCATCCATATACCTGTTAGGACAAGACAGCATGGTAAGTGCCTACAAGTAGTTTATAAGAATCATGTCACGACTCTTAAAAATGTGTACTTCACTAGCTTTATGATTTGCATACAACTTTCAGTTAGAAATCTTTTTTTTTTTTTTTTTTGAGACCGGCCGCACTGCACTCAGCCAGTGAGCACACCAGCCATCCCTATATAGGATCTGAACCCGCGGCGGGAGCGCTGCTGCGCTCCCAGCACCGCACTCTCCCGAGTGCGCCACGGGCTCGGCCCCTCAGTTAGAAATCTTAAGCTTAGAAAAACAGGTATTTTACAGCCATGCCATCTACACTAGAGAAATGAGTACTTTAAACTAATTAAATGTATTCAATGAAAAGTACGGATTAAGGGGGGAAAACGACTATAGTCATTCTTGATGCAGTGGAAAGAAATCAGAGGTGGTATTAAGTAAAAAATGTCTTCAATGGTTATCTGGGTTAAAATGAGCTAAGAAAATCATTTTTAGTAACCTATATTCAAATAAGTACGGATCTAAACGGGGAAATTAAATATAAACAACAATTTAACAAATGAGGAGCAATTCAAAATTATCTAGTTTTTCACTAAAAAATGTCCTAAGAAAACTTAAAGGAGTGCTACTGCTATGCTAACATTTGCCTTTGACCTAAGTTTTAGATTTACTGTGAGAAATGCCCTCACCCGTTCAATGCCAAAGGATGGACATGGAGACACGAGGTACAGTGAAACAAGACTTTAATTATGGCCTTATAAGGTTCGGGTGTCTGAAGGGTAGGCACATGGAAAAGGGCTGTAGCAAGCAACATATTCCCTAGTGCATAAGTCCCTCCCCCTAGTTCCTCATTGGCTGAGAGTACTATGGGATGCACAATCTTCCTGGATGATGCCTAAGATTACCCTGATTTATTACCCCTTTGTAAGAAATTTCTTTGTCTGAGGGCTCAGGACAAGCCCACAATAAAGGCCCTCTAAAACTCTGTGAAAGGAGAAACACCAGGGAATTAAGAAAACAATGAAGCTAGTAACTAATTACCATCTCAAGGAGAGCTCTGTCTGTTCAGAGACCCTCTGGGAATGGGCTGGACTGGTCAAACAACTTTTGGGCTGGGCCTGAATCAGTTAAAACACCCTCAGATAAGTCATTTCTGAAAATGAATCACTTAGATTATTTTCTTACAATTTTCCCTTGAAATAAAACATAAAAGCTTTTTCAGATCTAATGAACATCACTTTGAGGTTGTAGTGAAGTATTAGACAATCACAGCTGTGAACTTGGAGATCGTTTGGGCGAATTTGAATGAACATGTATCTCTATTCAATTATCTTAAGATACTTCAAACCAGTATCGGAAGACTATTAAATCTCTTCATATACAATAGACCCCCTTATCCTCAGGGGATACATTCCAAGACCCCTAGGGGATGCCTGAAACCTCAGAAGTACCCAACCCTATATATACTGTTTTCCTATACATATGTACCTATGATAAAGTTTAACTTATAAATTAAACACAGTAAGAGATTAACAGCAATAACTATAATAAAATAGAGCAATTATAATATACTGTAGTGAAAGTTATGTAAATGTGGTCTCTCTCTCTTTCTCTCAAAATATCTTACTGAAACCGCAGAAAGAAAAACTGCAGATGAGGGGGGACCACGGTAACTCCAGAAGAGGGAAGAAAATGTTCAATGAGCAACTATAAACTCTGAGCCCAAAACCTCTTAGGGTCTGTCAGGACACAGCAATATCAGGAGACTTTCTCTCTCATACACTCCATCTACTGATATCATGTTCATGAAAGTCATGTGAGATCAGCAATTTTCACGTGAAAAATTTAAGAACCTCCGTACCTATCACAGATACTAAAATATCCTGTTGGAAAGTGGTGCTGCCAGCAGTACTGGTCATCTTCTGTGTGGAAAACCTTCTTTTTGTGCTTCTCGGAAGAGATGTGGCCCTGCCACTGCTTCTCACTGTTAAGTTCTTCCCACACATCCAGCAGTGGAAGTCCCCCTGGTAAGTATGTGCAAAGACAGGGGGCCCATCAGTGGAGTTGTCTGAGTGTCCTCTCATTCTCTCAGGCACCAGGAGGACTAGTGCCACCTGATCTAAGACCTAGACTCATTCTCAGGGAGTACCATCTGGTGGGGGAGCCAGACAAAGACACAGAACTCAAAGTCAGAAATAGGAGCAAGCAGGGGCTGGCCAGTGAGTTCACGTGGGAGAGCATCGTGTTGATAACACCAAGGTCAAGGGTTCAGATCCCTGTACAAGCCAGCTGATTCAGATCCCCATACTGGCCAACTGCCCCCAAAAAGAAGAAAGAAATGGGGGAGGGGAGAGGAGAAGAAAGAAAGAAAGAAAGAAATTAGAGCAAGGAAAGGATTTCAGAGTGGGCAGGAAAGCCACACCAGAGGAAGCGGACAGGAGGGGCACTGAATCCTTTCTGGAGTCCAGGAAGTCTCCAGCAAGGAGGCATAGGAGCTGATGTGCAAACAAGGATGTTGTCCAGAGGACAAGAAGCAGGTTCAAACAAGGATTCTGGGAGGAATTAAGGCCCTGAGGAAAGGCAGAGAGGATGTGAAAGGCCAGTGCGCGTCACCTCCAGAGGGACTAGCAGCTGCTACGTTTGGTGCACGGGAATTGAGCACCCCGTGGGGGACAGACCCACAGAGAGGGGGCTCTGTTATGTGGAGCTGTAGTGCTGCAGGAGAGGCAAACTTCAAGTGCTTGGGTAGGATTTTCCAAACATCCTGGGAAAGAATTACTGAAATAATAGGGCTGGCCGGTTAGCACAGTTGGTTAGAGCATGGTGCTGAAAACACCAAAGTCAAGGGTTCAGATCCTTGTACTGGCCAGCCACCAAAAAAAAGGTTAAAAATAGTAGAGAACCACTAATACTATTTGATCTGATTTACTGCAGTGCAGAGGAGAATATCTCCTTCCCAGGAAGGAACAAAGAGGCCCTTCTGCCTGGACATGTCCACCCAAACCACGCTGGCTCATCACTGCTGTGCTGAAATCTAGGTTCTTAACAGAAATATCTGATAGCAAAAGCCCTCCGTGCCAACAGATGTCCGTTTTCAATCACTTTCCATTCATCAGAACTGTTCTTATGAAAACAAAGTCAAGTTCCTCAGTCTAACATTTAAGGAGATAATAAAAGATTTTAGCCCTAAAAATCAGCAACAGTAAGGTCCACTCCAGAACACAAAAATACTCAAATGGACATTAGTAAAAATATTGCTGGAATAAAAATATGTAATTTCTAACCCAAATTCACAGGACCTATTAAACATAACTAAAGAGTTCTTAATCTCTGCAAAACGTACGCCGCATAAAAAGAGAATTACTCTGTAACGAGAATACAAGGAGTGACTCTGAAGCTCTTACTGTATAAACCGCAGTCCTTCCTTAATGTCCTGCTGCCTTTTCCTTCTCTCCTCGGACGCACTGGACATGTTATCCCGCACATCCACTTTCTAAATGAGCAATCTGGAAAGAAGCAAGGCACAAAATCACATAAGACACCAATGCTCCTGGACCCCAGTTAAAGCACCCGTAATTCGAGACCTTGTCACACAATTAGTTGCAGACATGTCCATATCCCACTTGACCCTAGGGTCTTCAACACCAAGGACCCATGTGAGTTATCTTCGTGGGTCTCTGTCGTCTAGTGTACCATAAGCATACGGTTTTCCCGAACAGTCTCCAGGAAAAGGGCATTTCTCTCCTCCTCGCTTTTCTCCCCTCCTGCAGCTACAGGTTCTGTTTCTTCCCTGTCTATACACACGCGTAAGCTGCCACTAGAACAGTCTCGGCCTTGTTTTGTTTCTGGAAGCTCTCCAGAAATAAAAAGCTTTCACATCCGCTTGCCTCTGAGGGAGTCTGACTTCCTTGTAAGCAGACTCTAAACCTCATACGTAGTTTGTTACACAAACGTCTGAATTAATTCTTGTTAATGCAACAGATAGAATAATGGTTTAAATACAAGGATACTTCAAAAATTTCATGGAAAGATTCCTATTAACTTTTCATTCTATTTTTCCACAAATTTCTTTAAGTCCCCTCGTAAAGTTACTTCAATTGGAATTCTCTGGATAGAAAGGGTTTACCCTCAATGTAATACTTGCAAATATCAACACCAGGTCAATTTGTTGATATCTACTCCCACTGATTAATGTTCACCGAATAGTTTCCGACAAGTTAAAGAAGAACCAGAGAATCCTGTGATAAATATCAAAACATCATCTCCCAATGTCCTAAATGAGGGTTTCTCAGCCTTCGCTTTTCTCCCCTCCTGCAGCTACAGGTTCTGTTTCTTCCCTGTCTATACACACGCGTAAGCTGCCACTAGAACAGTCTCGGCCTTGTTTTGTTTCTGGAAGCTCTCCAGAAATAAAAAGCTTTCACATCCGCTTGCCTCTGAGGGAGTCTGACTTCCTTGTAAGCAGACTCTAAACCTCATACGTAGTTTGTTACACAAACGTCTGAATTAATTCTTGTTAATGCAACAGATAGAATAATGGTTTAAATACGAGGATACTTCAAAAAGCTCACAGAAAGATTCCTATTACCTTTTCATTCTATTTTTCCACGAATTTCTTCAAGTACCCTCTTAAAGTTACTTCAATTGGAATTCTCTGGATAGAAAGGGTTTACCCTCAATGTAATACTTGCAAATATCAACACCAGGTCAATCTGTTGGTATCTACCCCCACTGATTAATGTTCACTGAATAGTTCCTGACAAATTAAAGGGGAACCACAGAGAATCCTGTGGTAAATATCAAACCATCATCTCCCAATGTCCTAAATGAGGGTTTCACAGTCTCAGAATTTGGGACCAGACAATTCTTCATTGTGGGGGGCTGTCCTGTGCAATGTAGGATGTTAGCAGTGTCTGTGGCCTCTCCTACTATGCCTCACCCCACCCCAACCCTCCACCTGTGACAACTAAGAATGTTTCCAGATATTGTTAAATGTCCCTGAGTGCCACAATCACCCTGGTTGAGAACTACTGGGACTTAAAACTAAGAAGACACCTGATCACATAAACCATGTATTTGGAACTAGGTGTCAGAAAAATTCCACCCAGGTTGCAAATACATAACTGAAATTTTTTTAGTTTCGCTATTGCTTACCATTTTCAGTTTTATTTTAAACCTACATTTTTCAAAGTATATTGGGGGAACGGAGGTTGAAATGTCCCCAAAGAGTGAGCACTGATACTAATCTCTTTCATCTCTTCAATACTGTCAGTTCTAAATATTTTTATCTTCTGCTTAAAAGTTGGTGCTGTACTGAAGTGTTTACATGGGAAAGGATATGATGTCTGGGATTTGCTTTAAAATACTCCAGCAGATAACAAAAGGGGGGTGGGGAAGCGGGAATAAGAGGGCAGAATGCTGGTGACTGTTCAAGTGGGTGGTGGGTGCAGGGGCGTCTTTGTACTATTCTCTCCACTATGTATGTTTGACATTTTCCAAAGTAAAAAGTTTAAAAATCCTTGAGACTAAAGTAAAATGGCACTATTTCTGAAATATTCTTTTAAAGTAGTTTAGCCGATCACTTGGTGATTTCCTAGAATGAAAGAAAAAAAATAGTTTAGCCAGAAAGGTGGTGGTGGATGGGTGGAAATGAGACAAGAGTGCCAAACATTTGGATAACTGTTCCAGCTGGGTGATGGGGGTGTGAGTCCATTCTCCTCTCCTATCTACTTGTCCACGTATGACCATTCCCTTAATATAAGGTTTTTTAAAAAAACTCATACTTGTGCATACAGAATTACTTAAGGAGGTGCTATTTGTAAGAGAAAAAGATTAAAAACTAACTCAATGTCTGTAAAAAAGGAAACAGTTGAATAAATTGTGCTGGCAAGAAAAAAAAAAAAAGAAGAGGGGAAGTATAAAAGTGCCCATAATAGGAACCTGTTTTGTTTTATAAAAATAAGTAGGGTAGGCATATACACAGTATCTACATTTGCTGTGCGTACACGAAATGGCTCTAGAGAGAATCAGANGCATAGAACTACACACGCACAACTGAGTGCTAGTAAAAACTGAGTAAGGTCTGTAGTCTGGTTAACAGTATTACACTAATGTCAATTTCCTGGTCATGACAGTGTACTGTAGTATAGGTCACCAGTGGGGGAAGCAGGGCGAAGGGTGCATGGAACTCTATGTACTGCTTTTGCAACTTCCTGTGAGTCCGTAATTATTTCAAAATAAAAAGTTGAGTATTCTGTGCATATGTTGTTTTTTTATACAAACTGGGGGTACTAGCATGTCATGTTCTGTGCCTCACTTTTTCTACATAGTACCTAATCTTGGAGGTCATTCCATATCAGGACATACAAAGTATTCCATGATATCACTATGCTACAGTTTAACCAGGACCCCAGTGAAGGACATTCTGGTCATTTCCAATCTTGAAAGTTCACCATGTACACAGAGCATGTCACCTATGTGTAAGTATCTCTTTAAAGAATTTCTTTAGGAGAAAGGGTACATGTGTGTTTATCTTGCCAGCTATTGCACATGACACTACCCACCAGCAATGCACGAAGGTTCCTGTTTCACCAATCACCAAGGAATTATC